TCAGCAGGATTTTTTTTTTCTTTTTTGCTTATATAATAACATTTTCTCGCTCAACACTATGCTTATTAGGTCATTTTATTGTGACCTTCCTACGTCCTATGAACATAAATCCGACCAAATTGGCTAAGAGGTCTGATATTTTCACTAAATATATTTACATGGATGTGTTGGCTGTTGGCAGTAGAGCAAAGTTTCAATTTTACTTAACCTGAAATTCCATTGTCTGCTTATTGGATTTCTTTGAGAATTTGCAGATTCATTCACATCTATGTCCTTTGTGCTTAGACTGATGTGTTCTATGATTTCCATAGAAATCCATATTTCTTTTGGGAATGAGCAGAGCTTCAATTCAAATCACTGATGCAAGGTGTTTTACTAAATTAAGAGTCTATTTGGAACAGCTGCAGCTTATTAAGAAGCTATTGCGCAGTAGCTGTGCAAAGCTGCTGTTGCACTGAAGCTGGTTGTCTATTTGTTTTTTGCAGTTTAGCCACAGCTATTTCCGAACAAATGATTTTTCTATCCCTATAGTATAGTGATGTTTATAATAGAACCTATCCTGCAATCGCATTTCATACTTGAAAAGAAATATCAAGTTCAAAAATTACAAGAAATAAAAATAGACACCTCACAAAATAGTGAGTAACACGACAATCAATTTAAAAAAAAAAAACTACTAAAATAACAATAAAAAATATGATAATATTGTTTGTAAAATGCACTTAGTTAAAGTCACGAGATACTCCTTCCTCTTAGGAAACTCTCCACGTCTAATAATTATCGACGGTGGAATCCTCCAACCCATCCTCCCACATAAGAAAGCCACATCTTTCTGTTCTTTTCCTCAAATACCCTTAAAATTGTCTCCCATAGTTACATGACTGTCGTGAAGTGAGCAGGAAACATTGTAGTCCACGGTAGAAGTAAAACGTTTTGGAGATATCGAAAGTCCTTGAGCTCATATTTTCGAATGGGTTAAAATAATAAAGCACAAACTTTTAGTTTTAGGAGACTGTGAGGTCTCAGAGAACATAGCATAAACTAACGAATTTGTCACTACAAGAAGATTGTAGGCCTTATAAAAAAATGGTTATTGATTGCCTTTAAAACACATAATACCGAGCTCATATTATATGACCAAAAAAATCATCCAAAAGAACCTCAAGAGCCATATAACCAAAAAAAATAAGAGGAACTTGGTTGCCTTAATTGGGATTTCACGTGTGCCAAGAACCAATAGCAACATATAGGTCATCCACAAGAACCCTTAAGATCGAATATCTCATCAGAGACCTCAAAATTAAAAAATTAAACATACAATAAAAATTTAGATTATACATTATATCTACGGTTGGCTCATCATGTCCAAGTGGGAAAGAATACATACAGAACTAGAGAAAAAATTAAGATTCAAACTATAGATCATTGCATAAAACATTGATATAATAAATAATAAACGTTTTCATAACATATTGCAAATAAAGTATGAAACAAAAAAGTACAATCGCTCAATTCAGCCATCAATGATGGCATCAGTAATTTGTTCTCTTAACTTCATCATCTCCCCTACACCTTCCCAATCCTGGGTGTAAGTCTTAGGTAATTCACTTTCAATCTGTGATAAAGATTATCCTAGGCAATATTCATATGCTTCAACAGGGACATGTGAATGATCTTCATTAGCCCTATTGATGTCAATTTCTTTGCATGAAGGATATCACTAAACATAGTTGTGGAGAGTCATTGAAGGGACCACAATCTGCACTTGTTTAGGAAATGGATATGTCGGCATACCCCACATTATAACTCATTTTTTCTTCCAAAATCCAAATGTTCTTTCAATGGCACTGCGTAAGGACAAGTGTCTCTTGTTAAACATTTTTTTCCTACCCTGAGCGACATTGCTAGCTCTTTCAAAATCAAGAATATGGTATTTAATACCGAAAATGGCTTTAGAAACCCTCTTTGTAAGGGGTATCCAACATCAATAAAATAATATTTATCTGACAAAAAAATAATAATTAGTATTGAAGTAAAAAACACTATCTCATTAGTTGAGACTCAAGCAAACTTGGTGGTGGATGAGAAAAGTTGTATTTCTGAGTTATTGTGGCAATTTTGAATATGCGGCTTTCGTGTGCACTATCTTCTCAATCAGTCATAACAAAAATGAAACACATATTAAAGTCAAATACAACCACGACATTTTTTGTTCTTGATCTGCATCGCTCGATGAATGTTAACTTTTCATTATTCGAAGCTCCAGTACAGTTCTAAGAAAGTTAATAGGTAATCAAAATTACTGTGCTCATCTAAATTATGGAAAAAAGAATAAATAGAATTACCTGATCCTATGAAATCTCTAAGGGAGTCCTTTTAAATGTTGGTTCATCAGGTTTAATAATTTATAATGAGAAACTGACTAGAGCATTCTGTCCAATTAAAAAATATTTACTGATTATTTCTAATGAGTGTTGAAATTGCTCTGACACTTCTCATAGAATCATTCTGTGATAAAATATAGGCGGTTATTGCTAACACCTCTCTAAAAATTTTCCTAGAGAAGCCATGAAGTCCATGATTTATGTGTAGTTCTTACAATAGATCGATGAATGCGGGTTGTGTCATACGAAAAATTTTGTTGAATCTTATTGGGTGCCCTACAGGCAACTCCCCAACCCACTTATGGTCAATGTATGAAGATGTCATGCAATGAGAACGGGCAATGTACGAGTTATAGTACTCATATAGAAAACACAACGTAGTTGCAACTCTTTTTCTTTCTCTGACTATGTTATTTACTGTCTATGCAGCAAACACATATAAAAATCATTGAATTAGCTATTAGCAACACATTATTTAAACAAAGAACAACCATAAATAAACTCTGAAAAGCAAATAAAAAATTGTAGGATCCAGTATATCCAAAGCAACGAGAACAGTGTCCAAATGAAAAACAAATATAACTTGCCCAACTATAAATAATAAAATTTATGCATCCCCGCTGTCATAAAAAAAACATAAATAATGTGTCATTAGGGGTCATTATCATAAAAAACTCTCTACGGGTCGGGTCTTCA